TGCAGACATGCTGACCCTCAGCTTTTCCTTAGTCCTCACCCTCTGGGTCCCAAGCTCATGCACTCTGACTTACTCCCAGTCAATTCTTGTTTCTTCCACAAACTCCTCCTTAGCTGTCCACCAACAGGACATAAGGAGACTGGTTTGATATCACCAAGCACTTCTGGAAAGGATGAGTAGAGGCTAACCTCTTCTCCCTAGGTAGAATGCAGATTGATACATGGAGCCCATCGAGCTTCCTTGGCACCTGAGGTTGATCCATGTGTTGAAGGGTGGAAGATTAACAAAGTAAAAGTCATCACTGATTATAATGTAGCTGCTCTACCAGCCCTGTATTAATTATATTTTTTAGTTTAATGTTTTGATATATTGGGTGCCTGGCTGGCCAAGAAGAGACTGCCCTTCCCAGGACTAGCTGATTCCTAGAGATTATACATAACTTGCCCACTAGCATGCCTTCCCCATAGAAGCCCACCAGTCCTGAGTCCACATCCCCAATCTCCTTCCTTATCCAATTCTCCCTCACCAAGCCAATGGTTTCCTTGTCATAAATTAACCCAGAGCCAGGTACCAAACAACTGGGGACAGCCACTATGCCTGAAGACCACTGGAATTAGCCACAGTAGCCAACCCTAAACTGTTTACCCTGCCTCAACTCTCCTTCCTACAGAAACCACAGTAAAGGCTGTGGCCTGTTCTTCCCCCTCACTCTCAATTCTTCTACCTCCTGACCACAACCAGTACTTCCTGACGTGCCCTGAGAGGCATCCCATGGCTCTCACTTTCACAGTTCTAGTGGGGCTGTAACAAAAAGCATTTCTTTCAGTGGCTTTGACCTCCCCATTTAGTCACCGAGTCACCTCTGGAAATGAAGACTGGGGATCCATCAGTGCTAGACTGTTTCATCTCTGAGCTTTATTGACACAAGGAAGACAAACTACTATCATAGCTTCACCATTATTTTCAGTTTTCTATCATTTTCAGCCAAATATTATAATAGATATATATCATTGTTGTGTTCTATAAACCTATCTAGCTGGCCACCTCAAACCTGCCTTTTCTCTTATACTTGCTTTTTCAGATAATGTTCCTATGATCTACACATAGTAACCTAAACCAGAGGCCCAGAAATCATTCTAGAATCCTTGTCTACCTTTATGTCCCACATCCAGTGAATATCCAGCGATTTTTTTTTTATCTTACCCTACCCTCTAAATATTTCTCAACTTTATCTGCATCCTTTTTTGCATATTAGTCTCCTCTGCTTTGCCCCTCTTTCCTATTCTAATAAACAGTACTTAGAATAAAGCACAAATTACTTATTACGGCCAATGAGCCTCTTACATGATCATAAATCATATACTCTTACTATCTTTTCTACTATTTCCTATCCTCCAGGCACAATGTCATTCTTTCCGTTTCATGGAGATATGTATCTTTTCTCATCTCAGAGCCTTTTCACCAGCTGTTCGCTGCTTGGAGGAATAATCCTTTCCCTGGGCTTTTCACATGGCTGGTTCCTTCTTTGAGTAAATGCCATTTCCTCAAGGAAGTGTTTCCGCTCACCGTGAGTCACCCCACACACACCTGTATGCACAACTACTCTCTATTGCATTCTATTTTTTCCTTTATAGCCATTATCACATCTGGAACTTTGTCATTTGCATATCATTTACTTATTTGTGGTCTATCTCTCTCATGAGATGACAAACAAATTAAGAAAAACTTAATCAGCCTCTTTCACATCAATGTCCTTTTTCCCAAACACATGAGGCATGCAAATATTTGTTGAATAATTGAGTTAGTTTCTAGTTCTAATCTTATCCCTCTTTGAATGGTCTAGACAGGCTGTGAAGCAATACTAATAAAACCTTTTACAAGAATTCACCAGGGATTCCTAAATTTTAGTGTTCTAGGGAACACATTGAGGGATGCAAACCTTAGATTCCAGTCCCACCATAGTCATAAGAGACTATGATGTGATAAAAAAAATGCCCTAAATGCATTTGATATGCATTAAATGTATGTTTAACAAGCACTCTAGATGATTCTGCAAGTGGTCCAGGAAGTAAGTAGAATGTAATTCACATCCTTAACCTATCCTATAAGACCTTCTTTAAACCAGTGTTTATCTGGTCCTTTGTCCATTTCCTATCAAGTTCCACCTGAACTTTTTGTACTACCATAGTTAGGCTGAGATGCAATAGTTCTTCAAATCGCTCTAATTTCTTGCCTCTGAACTTTTGCTTCTGTTTTTCTTCAACCCACTATGACACCTAGCTGCCTCTACCATTCCTTAAGATTCAACTTTTCCAGAAGTAGTCACTAAAATCCCAGGAATAAAACTCAATTCTATAATAGAGATCAGAGGCTGTACTTTGTTTTTCATCTCTGTATAGCCATGTAGTGTAAGATTTGAACATCTAGTACTCACAGTTTCCTTTCTAACTGTTAATTCCTTTTCAGTTCAAAACTACCAGTGGAAATAATATATTTATAAAATATTATGAAAATCTATTGACTTTGGAGAATTTAGGATTGCTTATTAAGCCCATACCAGTAAATAAACACCATCAGAAGTGGAATTGTATCTTTCTCCAGTTCTATCTTTAAGATAAAAGCTTATATGCTAATATTTTATTAGGGACATACAGTATTAGCCATGTAGAAGTGAGATAATGCAGTGAGCCAGAGAACAAAGAGAAGATTCAATGAGATGTTTTAATGAGCTGGCTACAACTTTATAATCAATGCAGTTATCATGAGACATCATCAATAGACTGTTCATTGAATGAGCATCTTGGACCAGTCCATTCATGATGAAGAGAGAATTTCTCCACCAGCACCCTCCTCTCCCATATCATTCCCCATGCCCAACAAAGAGTTCATACTTCCTCACTTACAAGGGCTTTCCTGGCTTCTCAAAGACAGCTGCTGCCATAGCCACACAACAATAGGCGTTCTTGTTAGGCAGTGCTTCAAGCACGGGGAATGGAGTGAGGATGTAGTGGGAGCCACCACTTCTACATCCCACAGATATTCACGTGAGTTTGCCAGTCTCTGTAGGACTCTCGGTGTTGCTTATTATTAACTCTCTTGGTTAGGGCTGGGGAGGACATTTAAAGGGCTTCCACTAATTCTATTATAACAGTGGTTACTCCAAAGATAGGCAGAGACAAAGCAGAAGTTCCTACCAGCTGCTAATTGGGTCTCATTGGGTCCTCTCATGAGTGTTTGTGACTTTGGCCACAATTTTCTGGTTCTCCGCATTTTTTTTTCCCCTATATTTCAGACATTGTGAGCATTATGCTACATCTTCCCTGGGCCTTATTACAAACTTGGAGAGAATATTGAAGTCTGTTTTAGAAGGCATTCGGGATCAAATCTTGTTTTCTCCTTTCTTCTGTATGGGTGGTTTCAATTTTCTTTTAGTTCTTTAAACCTCTGCAACATTGGGTTGGTCTGTCCCATGTTGGAAAATTTTGCAGGTGATTAAAATTTCAGTTAAGTTTCCTAACCCTTGGCTGTACATCATTGTTTTATCTCATGCATATATAGCTCAGGGATTAGTCTGAGATAAGTTCATCTAAGGAATTGGGAGGACGCTTTCCTGGTTTTCTTCCCTCGAGGATTTTACCCTAAATTCTGTGACTCATTGAAACCCTTTTTTTTCATTCCTCTGGACAGAATCTTTATCATTTTTAGCTCCATACAAACTCATAATTCTATGGCTAGGGTCTGCCCATTGTGTGAAATGCCAAGAGGGAAAAAAATAGTAAAGCCCCTCCCAAGCCTTTGACTCCTCCTCCAAGTTCTGATTCTTCTCCAGAATCCTGTGCATAGTTTACTTTTTAGTTCTCATGTTGTCTATTCTGTTCTGAATTTCCAGTTGTCTTCTGCAGGTGGGACAGGCTGGAGTGGGCTTTGTTAGAAGGAACATTCTTTAAAGCAATTAAATTTAATAGAATCTGTTTAAGCAAAACAAAGACAGTTTCTGAATCAGGCAGCTTTAGAAGCAGAACCAGTGAAGATTCTAAAACTTCCAGCCAACCATGTGCCCTGCCAACATTTGTAGAAAAACAAATAAGGCACGGAACACTGCTTAATTGTTTATGGCTTAGTCAATCAACCACTAAGTTGTTTATAGTTTAACTAGTTAACGGTTTGCAGTCTAATTAGCAAATTGTCTACAGAGCTTTCCGCAATGAACCAAAGCTCATTATTGCAAATTGAATTCTGTATTGGTTAGGTTTTGTTGGGTCTAGTCCAGTTTCCCAAGTTAAAATTCATGGCCTGTCCCTAATTTTATTTAACACATGAAACCACCACCATGGCAGAAATAAGATCCTCCACCCATTTTCCTGGTTGTTTGTCAGTTTGCTCAGTAAGATCCGGTGAAGAAATGAGAAAACCACTTCAGTTTTTTTCAAGCACGAGGTCTTTCATTATAAGTGAATTGGCTTCACGAGTAGTGGAGTCCCTGACCGGCTAAGGCGTGAGATGCTAAGTCAGCGAAGAGACTGACCATAGCTGGAAGCTCCTACAAACTCTGGGGATGGAGGAGCAACAGAAGGAGATGCTCTTGGGACAAAGGCAAGGCTGTCAGGCAGGAGCTGGAACATCAGAAGATGCCCTGCCAGGACCACAGGGCAGGCGCTCCAAAAGCCTGGAGCTGCAGAGGAGATCCACAGCCACAGGGGCTATGAGAGGCAGAGTGGTTTGGAGAGACATCAGCTAGCTTCTCCGGGTGTCTCCCCCAGGGCTTCCCACTGGCCAAACCCTGCTCTCACAGCCGCAGTGTGAGAGCCAGGGAAGTGGAGGTTCCTGCAAAGAGAGAAGAGCAGGGGAGGCAGGAGCAGTGGCTTGAGTCCACATGAAATCCAGGTGTCATCAATCCCGGTGGGGCTTTGAACCGGTGATTAGGCCACGGGGACTTCGCCCTCCTGAGTGGAATTAAGGCCTTTCTAAAAGAGGCTTCGCACCCTCTTCTCCGGTGCAGTTGGGCTTCTCAGAGAGGTTAGGCTTGGTCTGGGGAGGAGGAGGAGGAGGAGGAGGAGGAGGCTCTCTGAAGACCGGCGGCCCCTTGAGGTTCCCAGCCTCCAGAATGGTCAGAAACAAACTAGTTCGCTGTAAGTGACCCCGTGTCTAATATTTTATTATCATAGCACAGACTAAGACGCAAGGAAAATGGATTGAAATGAAGCATTTCAGCAGCACATGAGGGCGTGCTAAATCCCAATAATCTATCACTTTACCTGTAAATACGTTTTTTTTTCAGTACCGGGGATTGAACGCATGGCCTCACATGTGCAAGCAAGTGTTCTTCTGCTGAAATACAACCCTTGCTCGCTTTTGAAATTTTAAAACAGGGTGCCCAGGCTGCTGCCTTGGCCTCCCCAGTAGCTGGTATTACAAGCATGTGCCAACATAGCCAGCTAACACTTTACATCTTTGAAGTGCAATTAAAAAAAAATCAAAATCTAGATCAAACAACAAATAGCATCAATTGTTTAGCAGTTTGATATCTGCCAAAAATTAAGGAATGGCTAGATTTGGAATGATTGGTTATTTCTCCTACCACGGAAGCACAGTTGATGGTGTGAGAGGCATTGTCCTGTGCATGTCTTTAATCTCCGCTCAAGGTCAAAGGCACTGCTCACAGCCAGGAACCGGGTCGAGAGGAACCCCAAACCCAGACCCAAGAATCACATACTGAGTAGGAAAACAATGAGGGTTCCTCTTCCTGCCTGAAAACTTCTAAAAACATGAACTGCAGTTCAGAGGGAAACAATCCCCTACTTCTTGAACATTGTGATACCAATTTCTGGCATAGTGACTTTTTAAAAGCCTGTCCAGATTTAATAAGAAAATAGTTTAGAAGAGCCGTCAATAGATGCCTCTGGCATCCTTCTGATCATTCTTTGTAATAAGGATAAACTTCGAGCCCTTGGTTTTGGTTTAACTTTGTGCTTTGGATTTTTTTTTTTTTTTTTTTTGTACAGGAGATCGAGCTCGGGTCCTTGAGCTTGCAAGGCAAGCAGCAGAACCACTGAGCTAAATCCCCTGGCAACTATGTGCTTTGGATTTAACCCAGGACCTTCACACTGAGCTACATCCTTAGCCATTTTTATTTGGAGTCTAAGTCACTAAGTTTCCCAGGCTCAGCCCAAACTTTTGATCCTCCTGCCTCAGCTTCTAGAGTGGTAAGATTACAGGTGTGTGCCACTACCAGCTAGACCTCCAGTTCTTAGAAAACTTCAAAATAAAATTGCCAATGTTAAAGAAAACATCTATACCCTTTCCTCAAAGTCATATTCAACCTAAAATATTTTGTGATTCTAATTAAGATATTGAAATTATTCTATTCTACTTTTTACTTTATTATTATAACTAATTCTATGTATTAGAGGTATAGTGTGATGAGCCAATATATGTGTACATTATGTAATAACAGCAGTGGGGGTAGTTAGCATATTCATCTCTTTAAACAGTTTTTAAATGTTTATTAACATGAAATAATTATACATATTTATGGAGTACAGTGTATGTGTGTGGTGCTGGGGACAGAAGACCAAAGCTTTAAAAATATGAGGCAAGCATAGTATTGCTGATCTAAATCCCCAGCCTCAACTTTGTCATATTTCAAAACCTGTATATAATGTGTACTGATGATATCAAGTTAATAAGCATTTCCATCTCCATTTCCTTCCGATTGGAAATTTCAAGTGTCTCTCTTCTATAATAGATTATCGTGAACTATAATCACCCACTGTGCTGTAGAACACTGGTACCTATTGCTGCTATTTAACTGCATTTGGTATTGTCATCCAGTCTCTCTCTAACCCTCATCCCCCACCCTTCCCAGACTCTAATAATCCTGATTCTTCATTCAATCAACTTTTTTTTAGCTTCCACGTATGAGAAATACTAGTACAGTGGACCCTCAAGTTACAACTGGCCTGACATTCAAACAACTTGGGTTAATTAGGTGAGTGGAAGATTCATCTGCCTCTTGTTATCTATAGTGTCTACCCAGCTAAACATCCAGATCTCAGCTGTATTGACCAAAGCCAACTTGAGTTACAACCAGCCCTTGGGAACCGATTGAGTTCCTAAGTCAAGGGTCCACTGTACTTGTTTTTCTGTGTTTGACATCTCAATATAAATCCACTCATCCCATCCATTTTGCTGCAAGTAATAGTATTTAATTTTTTAAGGTTAAATAATACTATATTCCATTGAGTTTGCATACATTTTCCTTACCCGTTCATCTGCTGAAGAGCACCTACGTTGATTCCACATTTTGGCTATTGTGAACAATGCTACAATAAACATGGAGTGCAGATCCCTGCTTGATACATGTACTCATTTCCTTTGGATATAAACTTGGAAGTGAGATCACTGAGTCACGTGACCTGCTTTTTGTTTTTGAGCAATCTCCATACCATTTTCCTTGATGGCTGTGCTAACTTCCTTTCCAACCAAAAGTGTATGAGATTTCTCATTTCTCTACATCCTTACCAGCATGTGTTATTTTTTGGTTTTGGATAATAATCGTACTAAATGTGTTGAGATGATATCTTTATGGTGTTGACTTGTATATCATATATAACCAATAATGTTGAGTATTTTTTGGACATCAATTGGCCATTGGTATTCCTTTTGAGAAGTATCTGTTCTGATAGTTTGTCTATTTTTTAATTGGATGACTTGGTTTTTGTTGCTGATAAGTTTTTTAGTTCTTGGTCTATGTCACCTATTAATTCTTTGGCAGATGAATAGTTACTAAATATTTTTCTACACTCTGTAGGTTGTCTCTTCATTATTTGATTATTTCCTTTACTATGCAGAGGTTGTCTTAGTTTGATATAATCCCATTTGTCTATTTTTGTTTCTGTGGCCTGTGGTTCTGGGATCTTAGCCAAAAAGTAACTTATACTTCTATATTGAAGCATTTTCTCTCTTTCTTCCTAGTAATTTTGGATCTTTCGTCTAGGCCTTTGATCCATTTTGTGGATATTTGCACCAGGTAAGCAAATGGTGATCAAGTTTTAGTCTTTGCATTTGTTATCCAGTTTTCCCAACACCATTTATTGAAGGTATCCTTTCTCTGATGTTTATTTTTGGCACCTTTGTCAAAAACTTTGGGCCACAGATCCATGGATTGATTTCTGGAACTTCTATTCTGTTACTTGCTCTCTATGTTGATGCATATGCCAGTACCATGCTGTTTTATGACAGCCCTTCAGTATGTCCAAAAAGCAGGTATTGTGTTTTCTCCAGCTTTTTATTTTTGCTCTAGATTGTTTTGGCCTTAGGGATCATTTATGCCTTTGTATGAATTTTAGCATTATTTTGTCTAGTTTGGGAAAGAATGTCACTGACATTCTGATGGTTTCATCAATGTATAGATTATTTTGGTTTTATGGGCATTTTAACAATATTGATTCTTCTATTACACAAATATAAAAGGTCTCCATTGTGTGTGTGCATGTATACATGTGCGTCTCTCATTCTATTTCTTTCATCAGAGATTTGTCATGTTTATTGTAGAGATCCCTTACTTGGTTAAATTTATTCCCAGAGATGGGGGATAACTACTGTGAATGGAATTTCTTTCATGACTTTTTTCTCTGGAAGTCCATCAGTGGTACATAGAAATGCAACAGATTTTTGTATATTGGTTTTGTATTCTGCAACTTTACTAAATTTATCAGTTCTAACAGTCTTTTGATAAGTCTTCAGGTTTCTTTCTATACAGAATCAAATCTGCAAACAAGGGTAATTTGACAGGCCCCCTTCCTATTTTTATGCCTTATATTTCTTTTTCTTTCCTGGTCGTTCTGATTCAGACCTCCGATACTATGTTGAATTAAAAGTAGTAAGAGTGGACTTGTTCCTGATTTTAGATTTTCCCCATTCAGTATGATACTGGCTGAGGTATATTCAACATAATTTTTTCAAGGTTTATAATTATGAAAGGATGATGAATTTTATCAAAGACTTCATTCTCTCATATGTTTACTGACATATGTTGAACCATCTTTGCATCCCTCAGATAAAGATCGGGACAAATGATCTTTTCAGTGTACTATTGGATTCAATTTGCTAATATTTTGTTGGGAACTTTTGTTATTAAGTTGTCTATATTCTCTTCCAAATCCTTGAATTTTGTCACAATCATTCTTTTGCATTTTTCATCAGTCATTTGGTCAATAGCCTCTTTTTTGAGGTTTGTTGCTTGAGAGTTATTGTGTTCTTTGAAGGCACCATGTTACTTTCCTTGCACTCCTATGTTGATATCTGCTCATTTGGTGGATCAGTTGACTAATTTTATAAGGGGGCTTTCATAGTACGATGAAGATGTTTCTTGGGATAGTAGTTTTATAGGCTACATTGGCTTTGGTTCCGGTTGTGTGCCATGCTGCTGTACCCCTGTAGCTTCTTCAGCTCTAATTGATGGCCTTGAGTATGGCATGATGGTCAGTAGGACACAATGATCTACTTCCGAGGACTGTGCAGGAAGAGGAACACGCTAGTCACCCAGGCAGGCACGACACCCCTATTCTGTGAGCTGAACAACCTGTTCCCTATAGTTCAAGGCACTAGTCAATTTTGATAGCTGGGTTCCCAATAGTTGTGCTGGGTTTTGTTGGGATCATAAGACTATAGCTTCCTTTGCTAATGTCTGTGGGGGCCCCAGATGGGGATTAAAGAAGCTCATGACCCCCAGACCAGCATGAATCTTAAGATGTCAGTGAGGGACAGCACCTCAGGCCCTGGAGGTTGAAGAAAGGTAAAGTGAGGGTTTCTTCTCCAAGGCAAAGCTGCTGTACAGATTCTAGGCAGCTCCCAAATTGGACTCCAAACTTGTGAGGACTCTGGAACTTAAGTGTAGCTAGAATTGCTGAAATCCATGGTGATGGGATCCGCTGCAATGCTCCCTTTCACCCCTTCCTCTGCAGTGGGGAGCACCCTGGCTGGGGAGCCAGGGCCGTGGTTCCTAGGTGCCTTGTTGACCTTGCTATGCTTCCATCCCAGATCCTCATGTTGTACCATGTTCCTACCTCTCCCTCACTGAGTTCCAGGGCTCTCCCTCAGTCACTCACCTGGAAACACAGCTCCCCACCTATTGCTTTGATTCTTCTTTGTGGAGGAAGAGGTAGAAAATGCCAACCATCTCTGTGTCACCACTCTGGACTCTCCCACAAAGTGTTTTTCTAACACAAGCAACTTGTAAACAAGCAATACCCAGGATCATTTTTTTAAAAAAGATTTAAAGACATAATATCACAGTGACATGCATACCTGTGTTTATAGAGGCACAATTGATAGACTGCTTCCAAGGTTTCACTACTATCTGTCTATCAACAGATGACTGAATAAAGAAAATGTGGTATTTACACACAATGGAGTACTTCTCTGCTATAAAGAAAGAGAAACTTGAATCGTCTGTAGGAGAATGGGTGCACCTTGAAGCCAAAATGTTAAGAGAAATAAATCAGACACACAAGCTTAAATATCACATGGTAAAAAATATATATATCACATTGTTTCTCTTATATGAGAACCCCAAAGAATAAGTAAAGAGCAAAAGAAAAGATCGATAATAGGAAGCATGGAGACAGCACTTTCTCAGGTGGCAAGGAGATGAAGAGATGGAGGGAGAGGGAAAGAGGAGGAAAAAAGAAATTAAAATAAAATGTGTTATGTGCATGTACCAATTCCACGCAAGGAATGTAAACATTATGTACTGCAAACATGCACCAATGAAAAATCCTTTGTTATAAAAACTATTTAAACTAGAATCAAATTTTCTGAAAAGAAGTAAATGAAAATGTAAGATGGAATGGAAGTTTGTGTTTTCATTATATCCTATTCATATCCTTCAATGTAAATGTGTATAAATAAGGAAGGCTCTAGTCTTAAAGTGAAATTTTATTTCTTAAAGACTAAATATATTGTCATTTAACCCAGAAAGTATTTTTATGTATAAAGTAAAACAAATACAGGAGTAAAACACTAAAATATTTTAGAAAAAGAAAGTAGGGCTGAATTTAGTTAAGGATGCATCTCTCAAGTTAGAATTACTCTGTGTAATTTTAGGCCAGTGAATGGCTATGTAATTAAAGTTTCCACATATGCCAATAGCTCTCAGCTCCTCAGCCATCAGCACGGAACTGACATAGGTTCATGTACAGGGCAATCCCACAGTCACTGCCTGATCTGGCTGTAGCATAACGAGAATAGTTCTCCACTAAGTAGCTCTAACTTCACCCTTTATCACAGCTGAGTCCACCGTGACCTGAAGAACAGCCTGGGTAAGAAGTAGCTGATAATTTGTCCTTAAGAATAGACTTTCTTTTAGACCCAATGCTAGTTATAAGAGTTAAGCTGAAAACAATGTATGCATCTCTTCTGACAATTTTTTGTGGTATAGATACATCCGAGAAGGCATAAATAGTGCAGAAAGCACTCAGAGCTGACATTAACATTCCCAGGAAAACCCATGAACATGCCTTAGTGCCTCCACAGCAATAATCTGGCCAATATAGTGCTTTACAAGGTGTCATTTATCATTTTTATCCGACACAGGGAATGGCATTATCTAATGAAAAATATTCTCTGAGGATGTAAAATTAAACAAAAAAAGGTGCAAAGGACTATAAATAAATTACAATTGCTCCAATAGATTTTACCCAACTGTACCTGGAGAAGCATGGTGAAAAATGAAAAAAGCAGGGAAAGCTTTCAGGGGAGGTAGGAGGAAGAAAAAGGAGAAAGGATTTAAACAATGAGTCCCTTTTTCTTCACAGCCTTAGTTCTATTTTATCTTGATGCTGTCTATGGCTACTTTTATTGCATTGACTTCATATGGATCTCGTGTAAGAAATGTAAACATTTTAGAACAGAATGGCTTGAAGGAATCACCACAGGTGGTGTTCAGTATCCACTGAGTCCCGAGACACTGAAATCTGCACCCATTCAAATGCTTTATATAAAATATTGTATTTGCATGTAACCTAAGTATATACTCTTTTATACTTTAAATCATCTCTCAGTTACTCAAGTGTAATGCCTAGTACAACGTAAATGCTGTGTAAATAGTTGTTACACTGTATTGTTTAGGGAATAACAGAAAGTTCACATATATCTTCAATATAGATACTTTTGGAATGTTTTTTATCAATCGTTGATTAAATCTGTAGATTCAAAGTTCAGAGATACGCATGGCTGACTGTATATTTTGCATTGGTTAGGATAGTCAAATGTGGTATTAATCTTTCCCAGGTACCATTATGATTTCAATTACTTAGATGTCATTATTGGGAGCTCTAAAATTTGATAAGCTCCTATTGATCAACAGACTTAAATTTATCTTGATTCCATACCACTCTTTTTAGAAATTCAACATCATGAAAGAATTCAAGAACTTCACCAAAAAAAAATCAAATTAAGCCCCAAACTTTGTAAAGCCCAGCCACAGACCCAAGGTTCTATTGTTTTAAGTTCACACAAAATATTTGAATGGACACCTCATAAAAGACAGTATGTGAATGCCTAATAAGCATGTAAAAGAATTAATATCACCAGTGGTTAGGAAAATAAAGCCATAATAATGCTGCTTCACAACCACTAGAATAACTAGAATAAAAAAGACAGGCCATAGCATGGACTGGTTGGATTAGAAGCAGAGTGGACTCTCTACTAATGCCATTAGTTATGTGCCTAATTTTAAATATTGTCCCATATAGCTCTCGTAAAACATACTCAGGTAGTGGGGTTACTATCTCTGCAATGATGGTAAAATGGGGCTCAAATATTAAGTAATATTTTAAAATATTATAATATCAAGTAATTATATAATTATATATAATTATGGTGTATCATTATGTGCAATTATAATGAGAGACTTACAAAGATGGTTGAGAAAAGCAAGTCTTTTATAGTGCAGTAACTTGCTAGCTATGTCGTCTAAGGTTAATACATTACTTAATATTTTTATATCATATTCTTAATGTTTTATAA